TTTTTTCTTCTCTGCATTCCTTCAGGGCAGGTTTGGCTGGCTTGAGTTGTGGGGATAGAACCACAGCAACTTGAGCCTGACTGCTTTGTTGAAGCAGCCACTTAAAGAACTGAGTTAATGAGCAGGCCCCCTCTTTGAGAGTAAAAGTGAATTTTTTTGTTGTTTAGTCTGGAATGCTCAGCATGTGTTTAAACATTGTCATTGCTCTATTAAAAGTTCATAGAAAAATAGGCATTGAGTTATTGCGCTGGATTGACTGCTTGGGAAAAGAATGACTTTGAAGGATTCAAGAGAGGTTACCTATAAAAAATGAGCTTCTGTGAGCATTCTTAAAGGTAAGAAAGGAGTGTGTAATAGCCACTAAGCAGAGAAAACTAATTCTGTTGTGACAAGATTTTATAATATTTCAGTATATTAAGGTCTCTGTTCCTACACTTCCCTTCTCTATAACGAGGTCTGGGACCTATCAAAGGCCACTGGAAAAATAAGTTTGGTTCTCTATGGGCCCTTCTCATCTGAGAAAAGGAGAATTTAGATTCATAAGTCATAAGTCAGTACAGAATTTACAAAATGCTTCCTAGATATTGCTAAATTAACAAACTAAAGAGCATTATAAGCCATTCAAACCTTCAATGAATTAAGCAAGTATCATTAGAACAAGGAAGAAATGTCATTTAAGGGAACAATAGAATGATACTCAAATAGCCTTGTGGTAGTCTTTCAAGTTGTCCTTTGGAAGGTAGCTTAAGAAATATTTGGCCTTGCATTAGAGAGAAATAGGGCCATGGAGGTTTTTGTGCAGAACTGCCCAGGTGTGGGGCTGCATAGATGTTCAGCCAGGTAACTGACTGCTGCAGCCTTGGCTGGGTTCCTCTGTGACCTGGAAGACAGTACTGCTGGATTAGCTGCCATAAGGTGGTGATGGGGAATGACTGTGGCCTGATTCTTAGGAGGCATAGATTCGCTGCAGTGTGCCACGGCCATATGTGAGCTCTGGCCATGTGTGTGAGGCCACATGAAATGTGACCTTATATGAAATGCTGTGTTGCAGGAATCACATTGGAATAAGCTAGAGCCCTAATTCTTCCAGAGAGCTGGGCCCCAGCCTAGAAAAGCTGCATCCTGCTTCTAGGTCTCTAAATTTGGACAGCAAAAAAAGGGCTCAGGGCCAGGGAGATGGCTCAGTGGAATAAGCGCTTCCCTGGCAAGTGCAAGGGCCTGAGTTCAATCCCCAGTTCCAGAAAGAAAGAAAGAAAGAAAGAAAGAAAGAAAGAAAGAAAGAAAGAAAGAAAGAAAGAAAGAAAGAAAGGTAGGAAGAAGGGCTGGTTGGACCCTGGATTTGAGCTCCTACAGTCGTCATTCCTAGAGCTCCAGCAGGAGACAGATGAAAAGTTGTAGGGTTTGTTCTACCCTTTCCTGTTTTACAGCTCCTCTATATCTTAGCCAATTATCCTAACTGAACCCTGTGAGCAACTGGAAACTCACTTCTTCTGTGGCATCTTAAAATGCTGGATAACCTTTTAAGCTCAACCTCTGCCAATGGTGAACTACCTCCTTGTTAGAATTCTCCTTGTGAGAGTTCTTGGGGGCTCTGGTGCAGTTTAGTTAACTCCTGCAGCTCTTTCAGTCTCTGGATATCTTTATCCATTTGCCCCCCGTCCCCTGCCATGACAATCCATTAGAGTTAGTCATTAGAAGCCAGAGGCCCAAACCTCACTAAATTAGTCAGTGGGAAGAGAATGAAAATATTAGTATTTCTGCTTCCTAAATGACTCCACTGTGCAGCCAAAGTTGAGAACTAGTACTATCTTGTCCCCTGAAGCTGAGCAACTTCTCAGGGTCATGTTATATAACCAGACACCCTAGATTTCAGTCTTTATTCTACCCTGTGTACCGTTCTCCAGGCTCCTGGTTTTTTCCATTTGTTACATGGGAACAAATACCTATCTCAAAGAGTTGCCAAAAGGACTAAATGAAAATGCACGTAAGTCTAAAAGAATCTATGATCTGCAAAGTGCTCATGAAATTTAATTCATATGTCTCAGCTACAACCTAGCATCTGTTAGTGTACATCACCAAGCATTGTCCAAAGCATGCTGTCACCTCTAGGCCTTCAAAAGCTCTACAAAAGTTCATGCATCTGTAAGCACCAGCCATGACTAAAATACAAACTCATCAGAGGCCAATCCAGTGTCTTTTGTTGCCTCTTGTCAAGCCTAAATTAGGCATATGAGATGCCCAGTCAGTTCCAAGTGAAATGATTAACCCCATTAAGCCAAGTGAAAGAATATGTTAACCATGTTGATACAAAGGAGATAGAACAAGACTGAATGCACCAGAATAGTGGAGGTGATGAGAAAACAGTACTACAAAGTGCTTACTGTGTGCCGGGTGCACGTTACACATTTTTTACAACCCTAGAAAGTGGGTGTTACACCAATCCACCTCTGTATGACAAACTTGGGTCTCTTAAGTTTCAGTTATTCTGCTTATGGATTTGTAGGTAATAAGGCTACAGAGGTAGTACCTCTCTGCCACAAGAAGGCTCAACAAGGGGCTGGAGTGTCCACTTTCAGTATGGTTTCCTCCTGTCCTCCTCCAGCCACTGTGGCATCACCCTTGTGGCCTAAGCTCTCTCAGACCCAGGATGGTTCTGGGTTAGATGGGTTGGAATAGAAAACTCTTGCCACTAGAATACAGTTCTCCATCTCAGCCTCTCCACTCCCCATTCCAAAGGATGCTGTATCTGTGTTTGGGGAGAAGCCAAGCAAAGCAAAAGATTTCAACAGAGAAGGGAGGAAACACACCCACTGAGGTTCTCATAGCAACATAATCACGCACAGGCAGCAGCCTATTTCGGTGGGAGCCTGTTTCAGCTCCCTCCTCCCTGGTTAGTCACAGAATGGAAGGCACAAGCAGAAGGAGTGTGGGGTGGGGGAAGAGTGCTGGCCCAAGGATTGGGCGGCTGAGAAGCTGGTCTCAGATGCTCTCCCTGCTTGCTGAAGGACCACAGACAGATGTCCTCCTCTCTGGTGTCAGGGTCGTTCTCTGAAAACCAAGAAGACTGGACCAGTGAGCTTTGGAGGATTCTTTCTGTTGTGGTATTTGTTAATGGTACAAGTACTGGGAATGTTTTGGTAGGGGACCAGGTGTCTCTCAGAATCTTTTATCTCCAAAAGGATGCTTAGAAAAAAGAGGTTCAAGTTAGTAAATGTCACTCTCTAGATTCACCCCTTTCTTTCCTTTCACATTCTGCTGTAGGTGGAATAGGAGGGGAATGACCAGGTACTACTGGGGTCTTTGGTCACTCACTTCCAACTCTTCCCAGAGCTGTAGTCACAGAAAGGAAAAGGTTGAGGAGGTTAAGGTCAACCCCTCATTTGAATTTACACACACTGAACTCAAGCCTTTGGCTACTTTTTCTTCATCTTCCTCATTCCTGTCTTCTCTTTTCCCTGCCTCTGCTTCTGCCTGTACTCACCACTAGGTCTCCTTTTTGTCTGAGGACAAGGTGAGGAGGTCTCTTTAGCGCGGAGCCTGGTCCTGGCCCTTTTTTTTCAATGAATTCTGAGGTTAGCTGAGGACACCTAGGCTTACTCTTGCTTGCTGTCAAAGGTGAGGCAATAGGGCATTCAGAGCAGATCTCTCAGGGTGAGGACAGCGAAGACATCCTGAAGAGAATCAGGGGACTCAACGCACCTCTGAGAGGTCCAGTCCTTGCCCGTAGGCAGTCTTAAGGAGTCAGCCTGGGTGTCCCAATGCAGCAGGAGGAAGAGTAGCAGTCCCCTCCCCCATTGTTCTATCTCCCACCGCCTGACAGATGGCCATTAAGAGAAAAAAAGAAGCTCTCAAAGTGAAGACAGGGATGCATTGTATAAAATTCACACCCCCTGCTGCCGCCCAAACTCCCTTAAAAAAGGATCAAGAGAATCCTAATGGGTACGTGACATCCTCCCTCTCTCCCATAAAAGGGACTTTAAAATCTGGTTGTGGAGGAGGGGCGGGGAGGGGGGCAGAGAAACGTGTGGGCAGGGGGCCGCCGGGGAGGACTGGGTCGGGTGGGGGAGAAGGCAGCAGGCGCTTCCGTTTGGCTCTCCCCCACCTTCTTTTCCAAGCTACAGCTGGCTGTCACCTTCACCCCACCCCGACCGCCAGGGTAGAGCCGTGGAGCCTTGAGTGCCTGGGACAGGGACAGTAGAGAAAGGGCTAAGTAAGGACTCCACACTTCGCCCCAGAGTTGAAGGAGTTAAGGACCCTCCCCCACCCAGACACCCACCCCTTCACCCCCCAAACCACCATTCACCGAGAAAAGATCCAGAAGTCGGCGGAGGAGCGGGAGAGGTGGTGGTCTAGCGGGGTGCGGGCGAGGCGCCTGGCCCCGTCCTGCTTCGAGCTCGACCTCGGTGGGCGGGGGGACGCTCGCGGACGGGGCCGAAAGCCCACGCGAGCCCTGCCTGGCGCCTGTTCTCCTGGCGCTAGCCCAACGCGGCCCTGCAGCTTCCACGCCGCCCGCCGTGGCCCCCGCGCAAGTTGTGCGCCACACCAGGGAGTCAAGGCCGCCAGCGAGCCCGCAACCTGGCCGGGGGCGCCGGGTCACCGGGGCCGCCGTCTGCACCCAGCGGCCCGCCCCACCGGGCTCCCTCCCCGCCCCCACTCACCCTGCTCAGCCCTGAGAGGGACGCGCGGGGAGCGCGGTTCCCCGCGGATCGGCAGAAGTTGAGCGGAGTTGCGCCGCCTGACCCGCCGGACTTCGCGAACCGCCGCGAGGGAGCCCTGGGCCGCCTCCTCCTGCGCGCCCCTAGCGCGGGTGGAGAGGGACGGGCGGGGTCGGGAGCCGGGAACTTGCAAGTGTGCGAAGGAACGCGAGCCGGAGAAGGAAAGAAAACAAAGTGCGGACTGCGGGGAGGACTCCGCTGCGGCTGGTCGTGCGGCCGGCGCTCGGTGGAGGGGCTGGGTTTTTCTTTTCTTTTCTTTTCTTTTCTTTCTTTCTTTCTTTTTTTTTTTCCTCGCCCATTCCCTGGCTTTCTCTCGTAAAGCGACACCAGCTTCCTTGCTTTCTCTACTACCTCTGTATCGCCGAACCCTGGCTGGCGCTTATGGGCATGAAACACTCCTCCCGCTGCCTGCTCCTCCGGAGGAAGATGGCGGAGAACGCAGCCGAGAGCACCGAGGTAAGCGGGCGCCAGGGCGCACGGCCCCCGCCCCGCCCGGCCCCGGCCCCTGCCCCCGGCCGCCGCCCCCCTCCCGCGCCGCCGCTGCCCTGCGCCGAGTGCCAAACTTTCCGGCTCTATCCCGCTGGCTGACGCCGGCAGGGTGTGTTTGTGCGTGTGCGCGCGTGTGTGTGTGCGCGCTCGTGTGTACGTGTTGGGGGGGGGCTGTGCAGGTCTCAGGTCCCCTCCCTCTTGAAAATTCAAGGGTTGCTCTTGCCCTGTCACGCTACCCTGCCACCGGCTGCCCCTTCCCCCGCGTCCCGCGCTTCGCCCCAGGCTGCGTCCAGGAATCCGGGTCGGGTCGGTACCCGGCCGGGTCTGTCCCTTCCCGCAGTTTTAAGACCCTTTCTGGCCGCTGCTTGGCTCTGCTCTTCGTGCTCGAGGCGGTCCTGGCCTCGGCTTCCTTCGACACTGAGTGAGTGGGATGACTTAATTCTCTCCCCAGGACCCCCAACCCCCGGCCCGGATCCGGGCAGGGAAAGGTACGCAGTCCTCCAGCGCTGGGAGCGCGGGCCCTCAAAAGCTTCAGCACCGGGGACAGCAGCCGCGCTGCAGCTGCGGCCCTGGCTGGGGGAGGGGGCCCTGGAATGCGGCCGCGTCCGGGAGCCCGAGCTCACCCTGCTCGGCAAAAGCACGCGACGCCGTGGGAATCTGCCCTTCCGATCCTCGCTGTCGCCCCGAGCCGCAGAGTTCCTCTGTGCGTTCCGTCTCGAGACTTTTAAGCTGTGTCCCTTCGCCCGTCCCGCACCCCGCTGTCCTTACGGCCACGGAGCTGTTCCATGGGTTCTGGGAACCTGTGGTCACGGAGGGCATCGACGTGGGCAGCCCCTTCTCTTCCCGGAGGAACAGTGCTCCGAGTGGAGGAGGAGTAGAGTATATGTGATATTCCCTTATTCGGTGGCAGGAAAAAGACTCAGGGACAAACTCCTGGTCGCTATGAACACCCAGGCGTCTGTGAGGCTGCCTTACACTCACACGGTGTTACCCATGTGCAGCGTGGGGCGGGCTGGAGGTGTGGCGCGGGGATTGTCCCAACGTCTTGAGGGAATGCAAAAAGGTGCCGAGACCCTTCCCGATCTTCTCTCCTCGTTTTCACAGCTCTGCAGCTAACCCAAACCCCATAGCGTAGGCAGTAGAGCTTTAAGAATCCTTGTTCCCTCCAGGACTAAAAGCAGCACGCATCTGGCAGCACGCCCTGAGACTGAGAGCTCTGGGCACGCGGAAATCCTGGGGCTCCTGGAGTTAGGGCAAAGCCGGCATGCATGAGTCCCCAGCCGCATCCCCGCCCCCACCCCCATGCCGAGCAGACGCTGGGAACGGTGTGCGCGGAGAAGCGCTCAGCCTGGCAGACACAGCCAGCCTTCCCCCTCCCCCTCTGCTCTTTGCATGCCCACGGGCAGAAGAGGCTTCTAAAAATAGCTGAGACTCAAGGCCGAGCTTCTAAATTGTTGGGCCAACCAGAGTCACGGTCTCTGCAGCCAGGTGGCTGGAGCGCTAGAAGCCGGAAGGCGTCCCCTACTGCCTACTGGTCCCACCTCAGCCCTGGCTCATTTGCTTAAAAAAATAAATAAAAGTTTCTGCGTGTTCCAGATCCTGCTAGCCTGCCTTTCAACGGTGCCTTGTGCAGACCCCAGTCCGTTCCCACCGGGTGCATTGGTGGCGGCTGTGCTCCCTCCTCTGCGAGGGTGCAAGGTGTCCGGAGCAGGCAGAGCGGCGCGCGCCAGGCTATTTTTACTTGCTTCCCCCGCTGATCCGAGCTCCCCCTTCTCAGCAGTCGCACATGCCAGCTCTGCTCAAGGCATCAATGAAACTGCAGCAGAGGCAGCCGAGTTCTTTTGGAGGGGAAAAAGAAAAAGAAAAAACCAAAAAGAAACAAACAAAACAGAGCTTGGGGCACAAAGGCTGCCAGGGTAGCAGCATCTCAGCTGGGGCTCCCTGTAGACAAGTGGATGGGGGGAGGGGCAGGCAGAGGCTTCTCTCTCAGCGACTTCCTGGGAAGAGTGAACCCAGACTTGGTCAAAGTGCCCAGTAGAGGCATCCAAGCAGAGTGACTCGCACTTGGTTCTCCTCCAGTAACTGGCTGTCTTTAGAATAATCCATGAGGAAAGCAGGGCTTCCCTAAATGTGGTATTGTGGATTCACCTACGTATGTGGGGGAGAGTGTCGCTGTGTCTGGGTACTGAGGGTGATGGTCCTCATGATCTTGGTTGGTGACTCTGTTGTCAAGCATTCACTCTACAAGGAATGAGTAGGTACTGGAAGTCTAACCCATCTGGTTTCTCTTCTCAAGAACTCACTGTCCACTGGACAGCTGTGCTGGACAGTCCATAGCACCCCTTCCTGCTGTCTGGTGGTGCTATTTGCAAGCTCTCTTATTGCATTCTCAACACTAATCCTTAATACGTAGTTCTCATCCAGGAGGCTGAGGTCAGGCAAGTCACTTTGTGGACTAAGCCAGTCTGGGTGCACAGGTTGATCCCACTTCTGATTTATTGCTCTGTGCCCTGCTCTTGCCATTTCTAGCAAGACATGTTTGAATGGGAGTGGAGGAAGAGTCTGAGAAGAGGAATACTTTGGAAGAGAAGGTGCAGTGGTGGGGAGGCAAGGAGGATGGAGTTCTTTCTCAAGGGAAGCCAATGGAAGACACTCCTGGCTTGGGGCAGGAGGGAGAGTGAGGAATAAAGTTATGCGCCCACTGACTGTAGAGCCTGCATGCAGTGAAGTGTGAATTTCATGTGGGATACTCCAGGGCACAAACTTAAAGAGGTAAGATGGCCCTGGGGGGGCCAGAGAGCATCTCTGCCTATTTTGACATCAGTTTTATTCCTTGTTACTTTGAGCTGTTTTGGCTTATGAAAGCACCATGAGGTCAGTATGGTAGCTAAGGAGACACCAAGACAGTCCTGCACATGGCAAGCATAGTGTCAGCTCCACTTTCTGGATCCCTCCAGATGTTCCTCTTCCTCAGTTAAGAGTGTCCCTACCCTCTGGCAGTCTCTGCTTTCTTCTCTAGGTCTCAGCAGAAGCCCGCTCTCATGGCCTTCTGAGGCATCTGCAGAGACTCTAGTCCTGGCCCTTTGCAGCCACTGTCTCAAGCAAGTTGCTCACCTCTGCCTTCACTAAGGTGTTAACCCTGTCCAGTCCATCCTTGCCATCACTCTTTGGTTGACTTTTGGAAGCATAGGTCTGCTTATGACCAGACACTTCTTTGAAAACTTAGAATACTGTGCTGTTCCCAACAGGCTTTGGGAGAAAGCCCATTTAATTTCATTTGAACAGCAGAAAAGGTCTTCAATATCTGCAGAGCAATTCTCTGAAAAGATCATTGACTCCAGACCTTTGTGTGTTACATGCTTTTTCCCTGACCTGTACTGTTCTGTCCCCCTTCTTTCCACTGGAAAAAAACAGTTGCAAATCCCAAAGCCAGTGTCACTTCCTCTGGGCAGCCTTCCTGCTCCACACTTTTCCGATTGCAAGATCATTGACCTATTATATTTATTCTTCCAGTTAGATAATGATTTCTTTTTCTGTATTTAGGACAAGGTCTCACTATGAAGATCGGACTTACAGTGATTCTCCTGTTTTCAGCCTCCCAAGTACTGGGATTATAGGTGTGCCCTACCATGTTCAGTCTCAATTGATGTCTTAGCACTGCTGGCTGGCACGACATGACTGGGATTGAACCCCGGCTACTGTGCTATGCCTAAGCAGGGGCTTTAAGCTGCTGAGCTATCAGGCCAGCCCCAACAATTAACTTTTTCTTGTATACCATGTTCTTAGTAAATAATAGAGGTGGACTGAATTTATTCATGTGAATATGAACAAGCTCTTTGAGGCTTCTGGGGTTTCTTCTCCCATACCTCTGCTGTATTTATGTTGTTGTGGACCTGTAAAAGACACAATGGATAAGCTGGGAATCAAGGTACTGATGCAACTGGATGCACGAATACATTTTGGTTTTTCCTGTCCCTATTTACTATTCAGTAATTACTGACTCTTACTATGAGACATTTTTCTGAATATAAGATAAATGCATTAATCACAATGCCCACTTAAGAACCATATGGGATAATGGGCCCTATGAGCTGTCCTGTGCCTCACTGATTCTTGGTGAGAGGCTGGTGCATTATTTATGGAAATGACTGCCTCATTGAGGTTTCACCACCTCAGAGCACAGCCTCCAGGGCTGCAAAAGAAGAGTAATTTTGGAGACTGTTTGCAAATGTTCTCTGGAGTTGTTAGCCCAGGGAGAGAATAACAATGGGTTAAGAAAAAAATCATACAATATGACCCTAGGTTAAGAGTATCATAATGCTGCCTGAGTTATGGGGATAACAGAACCAACTTCTGGCAATGTGTGTCGTGGTGACTTTGGCAAAGGATCCTTCATTTTCAGCCGAAATGCATGATCCCATTACACAAAGATCAGGGAACCAAGGAAGTGAGTGAAGAAGAGACACTATGCAAGTTCACTATCCGAACAAGGGACAATGAAGGTTCTAGGGCCAGGCTGACTGGTTTGAAGTCTAGCTCTGGGCTTGGCAAATATGTTTGTTATGTTGAACCAACTGGTTAACCTCCCCAGGCTTCAGAAGGTTGTTGGGATGATTAGTCAGTGAATCCATGCACTGGGGTTAGGATATTGCTGTATTCATGTGAAAGTTCAATAAACTTTAAGAAGTCTTGCCAAGAAAACACACATTGGAGGGATTCTCCTACTTCTTGCAGCTCTAGTCAAAATGGTCCATAAACTATTGTCTACATCAATTTTTCTTTCCTCAGTAAACACTGATTTCAGTCCTTAAGTGTGCTCAAAATTACAAAGATGACTGTTTTATTTTCTGGAAAATTTAGTTTTGTACAGTCCAGAATTGGCTTTTGGCTGTCAAAGAGGATGAAATACAACACTCCAATTCAGGAGTGGGTTTCGTTTCTTCCTCTTAACTGAGTGCACTTATTTC